CTGATTTACTAAACAAGAACTGATTGTGTAAAAATAATAATCTTGTTTTCAGAATGTGTAAGATTATTTGTCTTCTTAGTCTGAAAATTTGACTGAAATTAAGTGAAAATTTCTGCCAATGGAGTAAGAAAATTTGACTTGGTAAGATTCTTGAAATAAGAAAAAATTGAGTCAAATCAAGTATTTCAAGAATCTTACCAAGTAAAATTTTCTTACTCCACTGGAAGAATTTTTTGACTTAATTTGAGTCAAATTTTCAGACTAACAAGACAAATAATCTTACATATTCTGAAAACAAGATGATTATTTTTACACAATCAGTTCTTGTTTAGTAAATCAGTCTCAAAACAAGATAAAAAGGACCTTTTGGCTGATATAAGATTTTAAAACTTGGTTAGGAGGACATTTTTTGCAGAGTACACATTTTGTGTCCTCCTCAGAATCAGTGCGCTGGCGCCACACGGTCAGATTTGAATCTGCTGGTGATGTCACTACTTCACAGCTCCTTCAGGAAGATGGCACCCACTTCGGATGTTATCATCCATGAAATGGACGTTATTAGGCGTTATCAGTCCCGCTAGAATGACTTCAGATTGTCAGCTGGTTAGTATGAGGCATTAAGCCACTATCTGGTTAACATGAGGCATAAAAAATGAGCAAATGACATGGTTAGCGCTAAAGATACCGTCCTCCAACGGTTGTATATTGTGGCCTTCCAATAGGGCAATGGGTAGAGTGTTGGACCAGAGAGCAGGCGACCAGGCTTCGAGACAGACACGGACACAAAAAATTTATTACAATATCTTTTGGTTATTTACATTTTCATTGTCATTGATATATTAACCCACTAGGGGGCACTGTCGGGACAGCCTGAAGCCTAGAAGGCACAGTAGGGACCCTCTGAAGCCATTGTGTGGGACTGATAACGCATAATAACGTACATTTCATGGACGGCTAACATCAGAATCCCCTGAAGATGAACCCGAAGATCAGCTAAACTTAATTTAACAGCCGAAAACAGAGAAACTGATTGCAGATCTGTGCTGAGGGGTCACCACCGTCACCCCAGAACCTCTCCTAGTCTGCAAACACATCAGATCCCAAACTTCTCAAACTGTTCCACAAAACAAGCTGAGCTGCAAACAGGAAGACCCTTCAGAAGGTTGGGAGGTCTCCGGCTGAGCCCTGACCTCCCTCATCAGGACATCAGATGTCTCAGAAAGACCAGAAACAGAAGACAGGGACCGAAGAAAGTCAAACCTTTAAATTTAACACTAAAGAATCCTGCCGAAAAAGAACAGAGCCTACCAATATAAGACCATTAAAAATAATGAGTTAAAGTAAATAAAAATGTCTCCGGTTGGTGCTGAGACTGAAACAAGAAGCCAGGAACATCATTTAAACTTAAACATGTGAAGAATGTGGACCTTCAGCGCCTGCAGAACATTCCAAACACACAACTAAAAACTGCAACCACTGCTGCTTTTATTCACGTTAACTGTTTTTCTCACATCCAGAGAAATTAAAACCAGAAAAAATCTTAAAGAATATAGTCCACATATATTCTTTTTTATTCATGTAAAAACTAATGTATATGAAAATATCAATGCACCGATACATTGCAATACTTCATTTCCTGATATGGTTCGATTTTTAATGAAGTTCTCAGGTTTTATGTGTGTAATTCATGGTTTGCTCTTTAAACTGAGTTATTTTTTTAATCTTTTTGAGAAAGAAACGGTGATATATCACTATGCACACAATATATATCTCATATTGTGACCTCTGTGATGTGAAATGTATCACACCACTAAATTCTTAGCAACAGCCCGGAAAAACAAAATTTTAATGTTGTTTATTGTAAAAACTGTAATCAAACCCTTCAGAAACAAATCATTGCAACGATGAAAAAAAAATTATTTACTTTCTGTGGATTAGTTGACTGATTAAATAAAAAGCTTTTTATTATTATTATTATTATGTGTAACAGGATTAATATCGTACATGATTCCACTTATCACATTTTATTTGGGTCATGTATAAGAGGTAGAACAGCGCCCTCTCTTGGTGGTTCGGTGTAATAAGTATAGTGGACATGAGAACCACGTTGCAGTTCTGAGAGAGACGGGCACGAGGTAGGCGTATTAGCATTAGCTCTGTGATAAAATATTCTGTGCATTTAACTACTGTCCATCAAATGATAGTTGGTTAACTGTAAGACGTGTTTATGTTACTTGGGGTTTTTATGAGTTTCAAATTGTACGTTTTATGAGTTTAATATCACTGTTTTTTGATAAGAACACATCTGAAAATGCCCGCTAGCTTAATGCTAATCCAAGATACTATTCCTCAAAAGGTGCTGTATCTGCTGTGAGAGCCCATGATTTGATCGGTGCATGTTCTGTTTTATACAGATTAAACAGCGTCGAAGTTCACCTCGTCTCCTGACCATCATTTAAACACAATGCAGAAATAAACTATACGAAGAAACAGAAACAGAACGGGTTTACGCTTATTTGGACCGAGTTGGACTAAGTTACGGCCAAGTTCAATGCGGTTGCATACAACGGGTAAAATAAGTATTGAACACGTCACCATTTTTCTCAGTAAATATATTACTAGAGGTGCTAATGACATGAAATTTTCACCAGATGTCTGAAGAAATTTAGTTACTGATAGATTAGTACTGATATTAGAAAACTACACCAGAGTATAGAGTATTTTATAATACTTGTATAATATTTGATC